GAGTCACCCAGAGGGTCCCAGACTGGGCCAGACTTCGGCGCCGCCTGCGCGAGTCCAGTCGCCTCTGAGTCGGTTCACAGGCAGCTTCCGAGTCGACCATCGGATCGAATTGGTAGGGTCCGGTTCGATCCGATCAGTCCGTTCAAGTTTGGTATCGATTTCGGCCAGTCCCGATCCAATTCACTTCCGATATTCCGAGGAGCCGGTGCGGCAGGATGCTCGCATGGCGTCGTTGTGAATCCCGGCACGGCCGATCCGAATCGAGTTCGATTCCGTGCCGATGCAGCCCGATCTGAAGCACTTGTCGGTTTGATCCGATTCCCCCATTCGATGACGGATGCTTCTGGCGTGGGTTCAAGGCCGACCTCCAAGTCGTTCCCCATATCGACGTGGCCGTGCCCCTCTCAAATGCCAGACGAAGACGCTAGTACAGCCTTATGAAGGTCCGCGCGCGTTTCCTGGGTTTGCTCCGGATCCGCTTTCCTTCGTACTTCTCACTTGCGCCCCGAGCGCGTTCGGAGGGGGGAAAGGAAGGCCCGACCTGACCATGACAGCCGCACGAAGCTCCGACAGTTTGCGACTATGCAGTTGTTTGGTCACGTGGAGTCAATTGCCCCGAGTTCGTACCCCCCTTCCCCCCCTTTCCTCCGCCCGCCCTGTGCTCGTCCTTCTCTTCCCTCTGCCCGTTCCTTCCCCTGTCCCTTTCCCCCACCATTCCTCCCACTTCTCCTGACCCCCTCCTCTCCTCTTGCTCCCACGGCCCCAGCCACAGCGTGAGCACTGAAACTGCTGGAAGTGGCACCCTACTCCCACGACATTCCTCCTCCATCTTCTCACGCCACACCTCCCCTTCTCCTCCCTCGTGCCTATCTCCTCATACCACACCTCACTCCTCTAGGTTTTCTAGGTCCTCGGCACACCACGTCCCGCTCTGCAACACGTGGCACCAACAACGGGGTGATATATGTCCAGCACTAGAGGTCAGCTCCGATGCCACACCTCACTCCTCCTCACTCCTCCTCCTCCTCCTCCTCCTCCTCCTCCTCCTCCTCCTCCTCCTCCTCCTCCTCCTCCTCCTCCTCCTCAAGCACAAGGGGGCCCTGGGCGCGCCGACCATTTTGGCTCCAACCGTGCCCATGGATTCCTGCCTCGGCGGCTCATCGCGCCGTGCTTGTGGCACCTGAGTGAGAACGTAAGCACTTCTACAGGGTGGCAAAGATCGAGGCAAATTTCTCCAATGGAAGCTACGGGACGCGCCCGCGAGGGGCGCAATACGGTGAAGGGGAGCACGACAGACCGGAAGATGCGCAGACAGCACGCAAGGATCTCAGCAGATAACCTCATTAGGCGCTTGTATACAGAGATTGCGACATTGAAGTGGAAGGTAGACAGTTATGATGCTTGGTACTGGTCTTGGGCGAAGGCGAAGCACGCACCCAATGTCATCAGCTACAACGACGAGGAGTCTTGCACGGTGGCAGTGGCGGAGGCGAAGCACGAGCCCAACGCCATCAGCTACAACGGCGACGATCCTGCGAAGTCTTGTACGGCGGTGGTTGGGGACGCAAAGCACGAGCCCAATGTCATCAGCTGCAACGACGTGAAGTCTTGCACGGTGGCAACGGCGGAGGCGAAGCACGAGCCCAATGCCATCAGCTACAACGACGACGTCGGTCCCGCGCAGTTTTGTACGGCGCTAGTGGCGGAGGTAAAGCACGACCCCAATGTCATCAGCTGCAACGACGTGGAGTCTTGCACTTTGGCAGTGGTGGGGGCGACGCACGAGCCCAATGCCATCAGCTACAACGACGACGACTCCCCGCGAAGTCTTGTACGGCGCTTAGTGGCGAAGGCGAAGCACAAGCCCAATGTCATCAGC